ATTGGGCCTTTCGGCAAGAAACGACAGGCTATCGCTAAAGTAGACGGTGACAAGATGGCCATCAGGGGAGTCAACGAAGGCGAAGCAGTGGAAAAGAGAGAGATAATCGGCGACGAAATGATCTTTACATTCGTCAAACCTGGAATTCCATTCATGGCGAAACGCTACTTCAAACGGGCTTGAAGAGCGTGCTTTGAACTACCTCTGTGGCACCATGCAGTGATTGGCGAATATCCTGAAACAGACAATGTACTGTAGTGACTTTTTACTGGTTAGCCTGTATTAAATGAATAATTCTTAATATGTCGCTTTTTTTCTTTATTTTTTATTTGCTTGCTGTGAACGACTTTTAACTTTGGTCAGAGATTATTAAAGGTCTTTCATACACGTTAAATTTTCAGTTTGAGAGTGATAGTGTTTTTTTCAAATATTGAATCTAATGTTCGAGTCTTAATACTATTTTTTTTTTCAATGAAATTTGGCATCTTTCACTTTATGGTTTATTGTTCAAAATAACGATTTAGAAATTCCTAATACATGATGTTCAGTGATCCAATACCATTCCCAGATCCCTGGCTATACTCTCATTTATTTAAATTCGTTTTACGTTATTTATCAGTATATCGTTAGATGGGATTGCCCCACGCTTCGTACCCACTAATGCCAGCGCGTCCAGGATTTATTACTAACTAACATCATCACACAAATATTATTATGTTTGCTATGTAATTCACAACCTGACGTTGCGAAGCAGTGGAAAAAAGAGGGGTAAACAGCAAGGGTATGATCTTTTTATTCGACAAACCTGGAGTTGATTGGCTGCAAAACGTTTTGTCAATGGGCTTGAACGTGTGCTTTGAACCATGCATTCAAATAAAACACCTTCATTTTTTATAAATGTTAATAGAGTTTACAATATAATTGAAAGAAGATATATTTATTCCCTTATAGAATATTTTTTACATGACGTCATTGCGCACTGCCCTTGGCTGATTGGATTCAACTTCCATTGAAATATAAAGGGAACGGGTTTGTTTTATCGACAGTAATACAACACAGTTTAAAGTGGGGCCGTAAGAAACTATGTGGGCGACGGTAGAATTGCATAAAATAAAATTACACAGGAAAGAAGTTCTGGAGGAATCAATAACAGAAACAAATACACGCCTAGTCTGAGGGGACAACTATTACACACAGTGGAGGAAATACCACAAATTCATTACGGAAGAACTAACTAAGTAGGTATTATTTTGTAGTGTTTCTGCAATTGTCTATAAACTGCAGTATCTCATGCAACATTACCACGTTTTAGATAATGTACGCAACACTCGATTCACAGTGGGCATACGTAGCATTTATAAAGGGAGCGAGCTTTCGTCGTGACTGCGAAATGAAATAGAGCTGATGTAGTATACCGCGTGAAACGTGCGCGGGCGACTCAAAACATTTTGGACCTGGCTACTCTGATGTGGTAATTCTATGTAAATCCTAAAGAAGTGTATTTACTGACCAAAGTTCTAAAGAAATTATTTCAGACCAAGTTATAACTCAAAACCTGTAGCTATTTCAGTTTGAGTTTAACGCATCAGATAGATGTATCAACAATTAATCACCTTACGAAATGACGTCATTTGCAGCAAACCCTATTTTTGTCTTATGTATGCTAACATCCGAGATATCTCCTGAATCGCCTGGGTACTTTAGTCCCTGTGTATTTTTAAATTTATCATTTATTTGCAAATAATTGATGAATTCAAAAGCTGTGCATTGTGCATGGAAGAGACATCCCGAGTGTTCGCCACGTTTTGAATAAATAGCAAATATAATACATCATTTTATCGTTTTAGTCTACCGTATAATATTCAACATGGCCACCACAGACATTTGAGAGATGTTTAGGTCGAATGACTGAATATCGTCGCAAACATAACCAAATAAAAAGTTGATCACCAGGGGATTATATTGAATGGTTTCCTAGACTCAATAGGTTGTTTAACACGGTGTCCATACGACAACCATTTAAACATGATGACCATAATACGTACGCATAATGACAGTTTATGATGTTGTAATTTGTGACTGCACTTAGTGAACACCATAGAAACGACTCCAATAGCAATCATCAATGATAGTAACTACATTTGTGGGACACTGAAGCGTGTAAGCAACCCCATCTATTGAAATTTGGGAAATTAGTTTAATTGGATTAATTTTGAAATTAATTTTCAGAAAAATCCATGTTTGCGTGATTCAGTATACACACAACTCTGGTCTTTACTATGTTGTTATATTGGTCACGATTCAACATATCGCAAAATAAATATCTTAACATTCATTTACAATAACCCATTTATTACACTAAACAAAATGGGTAATATTAATATTGGATCGCTGATAACTCACTTGTAAGCAAGGCGACTTGGAGCACGTCACGGTGTCTAAATGCTAATTTGGGCAATAAACCCCAAAGATTACCAAATTTCACTGAAACAATAACTATTTTAGCGCCCGGAAATACGACAGAATGTTACACGGACAATCGATACACGTATTTTAACAGTTTTGCGCTTGTTTCCAGCATCAACAATAATCTTATCAAAGACGTTAAGAGTTAAACATTGGAATATTTTAAAAGCAAATACATCACACTGAATACGTAACGTTTATGAAATCCTTTAATAATCTCCGTAAATGTTAAAAGTCATTTACAGTTAATGAATGAAATAAAATATAAAGGTAAATGTGACATATTATGAATAATTCAGATAATATTCACGTTATGGGTTATCTAGTAAAGAGTTCCTCTAGTCACATTGTCTGTTAGGTGTATTTCAGGGTAGTTGACGATCACTGCATGGCGCCACTGAGTCAAAGCAAACACTTCAAGCGCGTTTGAAGTAGCGTTTTGCCATATATGGAATTCCAGGTTTGACGAATGTAAAGATCATTTCGTCGCCGATTACCTCTCTTTTTTCCACTGCTTCGCCTTCGTTGATTCCCCTGATGGCCATCTTGTCGCCTTCCACTCTAGCAATAGCCACTCTTGTCTTGCCGAAAGGACCAATTTCTTCAGTGAATGCTTCGCCCGTCTTGAACTTCTGTACAATACTTTTCTTGGGCCCGGTGAACGTCATCGTGTAATAATCACCGTCTTTTTTGCATTCCACTGTTATCGGTACATCAATCATTTGGTCAACTTTGTCTTCTGGTGCTCCGGCAGCAATTGCAAACTCTCTCATCTTCTCATTTCTCGCGAAGGCCCATTTTCCGGCGAAAGCCATGTTGCTGGATGAGATATAGTGGATATGGATTGAATGAACTGACAGCCGATACAAGGTGTAAAGTGGAGATGACTGCTGTCATGATGCTCTAATATAGGATGTGGTATGCAAATGAAACAGATCACTACACTTGTGTCTGGGTGTCTCTCATGCATAAAAACACTTAATCTTGGACTAGACAATTATGCGTTTAATTAAACAGCGTCTTTGGTCAACTGTACTATGCACTTATTCGGACATCGATGTTGTCGTTTTTCTGCCCGACACTCCCTCACTATGCAATAGAATGTTCAACTCATCCGCAACTCTGGTCAACGTTTTTTTTTTCTGTAATCGACCTGAATCCACACCTGCCATCGCTATCATATAGACGTAGATAGGGTTACAGACATGAATGGATTGGACGTGGCGAATAATGTGACGACCCTTACACAGACTGCGTTGAACCCACCCACTCCATACAACACTAGGTGTTTAATATCATACAATATTTTATCATAGATAAAATTGAATAAACGTCAATAACTAACACAAAATCAATCATAGTGCTGATATATGTCAACCCTTTCCAGTTATCATACTACCATTAGTATTGTGAATATTGGTCATGATAGTTTTGACAAAATAAACGTCTAGTTTTGTGCAAATCACTTCATTGATAGCTTTGACGCGTCATTATTCTTCGTGTTTTACATGTTATACTACGATCAACACATGTAAGCAGTGTAAATTTACGTTGTTGGGGACAACAAATAATAGCTCACCAGGCGATAAAGCACTAGTATTTCAAGTGGTATTCATATATTTGGTTTATAGACAGTGTCCACAGTAATGCTGGTCCTTTATTTCCCAAGTTTTCAGACTAAATTCAAATGTAGCATGCTGGGGTGAGGTTGATTACGTATTCCAAACATTTCACTTGATTGATTTATTCCTCGAAACAGCATTCTTGTGGTGATGTTGTTGGTGTTGTTCCTGTTCTTTTCGCTGCTGAAATTGTGAATATATTACCGTTGTATCAATTTAGTGATGTCTTTTTTTTACCTTGAAACACACCTTTGCAATTTCACTGAGACTATTCCGACAACCCGCAATTTATTAGTATTTTGTAGTTAACTTACTGTACATGCTCTTGACAGTTAATTTTGCGTACATATTACTAATATTAGTTTGTAACCGTACATAAATCCTGAACGCATGCGCATTAGTGGGGTACGAAGCATGTAGAAAATCCATCTAAAGACAATTTAATGATGGTTCGTGTAGGATATATTTTGACTGTTTTGAGTGAACATTCAATTCGTAATGACCCTATTAATACATTAAAACAATAAACCTATAATCAGGGATCTGAGGATGATATTCGATCATTGAACATTCATGTCTTAGGAAGTTCGTTACCGTTCTGAATCGTTATAATTAACCGATGCCAAATTAAAAAAATAGTATTGAGATTCGAACATTAGATTCAACATTTAAAAAAACGCAAAGATTTCACTCTCAAACTAAACAAGTAACGTTTGTGAAAGACCTTTAATAATATTTGAAGAAAATTAAAAGAAGTTCACAGCAAGCAAATAAAACAGAAAAAATAAAAGCCACATATTAAGAGTTATTCAGTTAATACGGAAAAACAAAGAGTCACTACAGTACAGTGTTTGTTTCAGGATATTCGAAAATAACTGCATGGTGCCACAGAGTTAGTTCAAAGCACGCTCTTCAAGCCCGTTTGAAGTAGCGTTTCGCCATGAATGGAATTCCAGGTTTGACGAATGTAAAGATCATTTCGTCGCCGATTACCTCTCTCTTTTCCACTGCTTCGCCTTCATTGACTCCCCTGATGGCCATCTTGTCACCGTCTATTTTAGCGATAGCCTGTCGTTTCTTGCCGAAAGGCCCAATTTCTTCGGTGAATTCTGCGTCTGACTTGAATTTCTGTACGATACTTTTCTCGGGTCCGGTGAAAGTCATCGTGTAGAAATCACCATCTTTTTTGCAATCCACTGTTATCGGTACATCAATCATTTTGTCTACTTTGTCTTCTGGTGCTCCGGCAGCAGTTGCAAACTCCCTCATCTTCTCATTCCTCACGAAGGCCCATTTTCCGGCGAAAGCCATGTTGCTGGATGAGATATAGTGGATATGGATTGAATGAACTGACAGCCGATACAAGGTGTAAAGTGGAGATGGCTGCTGTAATGAATGATCTAATATAGGATGTAGTATGCAAATTAACGGAAAACAGCATTTGCTTTGGGGGTATCTCTCATACACAAAACAAAACATTTACTTGGACTAGTTAATTGGCTTGAATTAAAAAAACCAACCCTCTAAAGAAACGATTTTGATACAGTGTGTGTGCTTGAGACAGATCAAATGTACGCATAATAATAAAGATATTATTCATTTTTCACCCGAATCCCCCTCCATCAGGCAAAATTGAAATAATCTACAATACTATGAACTTTCGCATCACATGATTTTTTAAAAGTTTGTAATCAAGCTGAGTCAGCACGTCTCATTTTTGTCGCTGAGTGGCAGGCAAGCAAGCTATAACCATGAATGGATTGGACGTGTCAATAACTGCACGACGACCCTTACACAGACTCCAGTTCACCCACTTCAACAGCCCTCTGTAAATGTTCGTCCTATGTGTGCGAACGGAGAATCCCGTATTAATACCAAAAAATGGGTGAATATGTATTAGAAAACTACACCCAAATTCGGTATGATGATGTCATTTACATTCTTATTATTGTACAATATTCTTTTCGATTCAACGGGCGATCATATAGACGTAGCCCCATTTGGTTAACGTTCGTAAGGAAGAATAATGAGGAACACGATTTTTTTCCTAAAATTATTAAAGTGTATTTCTAGATGTAATGGAGTCGGCTAATAACGAGCAATGTAACATTAATCTGAGTCCGTGAATGTGGTGCACTCGTCGCTGTCGCTAATAGAATTAGAATTATGGTACAAACAATATTAGTCATCGGTCGTTATGTTGGTTTGAAAACATCTAGAATCACTCAACTTAGTTTTGTGTAAATCATCGACCGTCTAATGCATTAATATATTGCAGGGCCATTGATTGTTTTATTGCTTTACCATATGTGTCAATTGGAGTGTTTTACACGTGTTATTAGCGACGTTATTACATCATCGTCAGTGATTGCAATTTTAGCTCAGGAACGGTGTCAAGAAATGTATTATACTCTGAAAAGTGGTTGCACTAAGTTGTGTCGTGGTGTCATCCTGGCAACAAACAGTGGAAGAAAACATTCTTTTATGGGCACTGGTTTTAAACTAGAATATCTAAAAGTCACTACGACTGCTGAGTGCAATAGTGTTTCCATTGCGGATGCTGTTAAATTGGAGATGTCTCACGCAGTCACACACTCGGCTGCCGTCAATATGATAGTGCACCTGGTGACCTATTTTTCTCCCTCAGATGTAATTAGTAATCTAATGTTTAACGTGAGATGAATAAACCTTTCATTATGATATCCAATAATGACGTCATATTCCGACTTTATCTCATTTTTGTTCGTGAAAATTAAGTGTAGTTGAAATGTCCGGTTTCATAAACAAATTCAAATATATATGTTTCAATAATCAAAAATCGATTAATAATTATTATAACTTAACGAAATGTCCGTATGAATGGGATCACATGCTTACTGACTCGCATGGTCTATAATTAGCAATCTTGATTAGACAGGGCTAGGTCATTAGGTAGTCCGTTATCTAAGATACCACGGTCTGCCGTTAATATTGCAGGTGCTAGTTTTCCCTACACTTTCCTACAACCACTGTCTCATCAGCTACATGTTAGTATATAATCAACACATGATGTCATGCAGGCTTGAAGATATCATGCTTTCTGCACATGCAATCGCGGGTTTGTATCTGTACATATTTAGTGATACTGTACATAAGCACTGTATGAGGAGTATGGCGCATAAACACCGACATGTTTAAGACTTGATGGAGTGAACGACCGGTGAGATCGTGACGATGCCATGGTTCAAAATGTACTATTCCTTCAAATACTTAGTAATACGTCGACAACGTGGCAGCTGATTGAGTCTGTTTCTACTTCGTTTGGTCACAAGGGCCTATCTGACTACTGGTTAATGCTCGCACAGCGTAGTAACTGACTGTATTATAGAAATAGCAATTGTAGAAAAGAGGCATGATATATATTCTAGATTGTTCTAGACGACGACGGTTGTATAACCACGTGACATGTCGTACTCTTCACCTTTAACACGCAGACAACCGACGACCTAGCTATGGTGTTTGTTTGTTCGTTAGTCTGATTTTTAATCCTACATTTGACTCAACTTTGGCCAAGTAAGATAGACATAATTTATTGTGTTTTTTTCAAGTTGAACACATGAACGACATTTGCTTGCATCACAAATTGTGACCCTTAAACTATTGTTAAGCGACACCCACTACCTGTACACAACAAAAAAGAACGGTTATAGAAACTTTAATATTAAATGTTCAAAGTAGTTTTATAGTCTCCTGGGAAATGTTATGTATTTCAAAAAGTAAAGTAAGTGGATTAGGTCTGTGAAACCACTCACACACACATCTTTCCAGGGACTTGACACGTGTCCTGTCATGCTAGTTTTCCACCCGTATTTAACCACTTTATGTTTGTTCAGTGGGTTCACCATAGTACGTCAGCCAATACTGCCCTCTATGTTGATTGATTTATATGCGTTTTTCACAGTTTTTACTGATTCTCATTGTAATGTCATTTGTGATGTCACGTTCAGGCATTATCGATATTGTGAATTACTCGGTATGTTGTAATACCAGCTTATAGGCATATATATAGGGCTATTTTCAGTGTAATAAGATGTAAATTGCTGGGGATGGGGAAAATATGTTTAAAATGATGTGAATTGAGATAACAAAAATCAACCTTGTCAATTCAAATCATATAATTTACCAAATGAAATGCATTTTATTGTACTCAAACATATTCAAATTATGTGATATTAGTGTAAATTTCAATTTAATATAATGATGGGTCCGTAGTGAATGTTGTGAGATAGTGTTATATTAGATATGAAAATTATTATTTATATTTACAAATCATAAATCATCTCATTAATACTACATCCTAATGGGGCAATCGAAAGGTATTTTGATGTTAAATTGGAATCAGATTCAGTGATTCAAGTAAGAGATTTTTAATTTATAGTTTATGTGTAAGTAATATGGTAAAAGAAAAAAACGTTAATTTTTGCTACTAGTTTTTCTTGTACAAATCTGCCTCTATACACACAATAGCTTAATTACATGAAAGTAACAAATACAATTATATACAACAGTTTCCATTGGATATCTACTTTGAAAAAGAGCAAATGTTTGTTTTATTATTGATGGTATCTCAGTAGGTATGAGAGTTTTTTTTACTCGTATCAGTAAGTTACTGGTATGTATGTCATTGTTTTCATGCTACCAACAATGGTATTATTTCACAATCTGTCCGTTCTTCTTTGGTTACTATCCATAATATTGTAAAAAAATTGTAATTATTTAAATTGTGAGAAACGTTAAGGTCTCCATCATTCCCTATGATGACATCACTTCTTGTTCGGCTAAGTAAATATGATTAATTTCAGATATTGCTTGAATTATATTCACTACATGACATATATGTTGGTGAAATTAGATCCAAATGAACAAAATAGCTTACCTGAATATGCATATTTGTCAAGGTCAGTACAATTTGTAAACATCATTTTTAATACAATGACCTAATAATCGATTTGAAAATACCTATCTTGACTGTGTGTAACTTATGTGCTTTATATGGATGTGTGAAATTGCCCAATATACTTTTTTCATACATTCATACATAAAATCAAAACACTGAAATTCTTACTTTCAATTCGTGTTACCCTCTGCCACACCTTGACTGCACTAACACCCTCTTCTCCAACACAATCACTCACACACATTTGTCGTTGATTTATTCGTGTATCACTGTCAGTATTGGTATTAAAAAAGTATACCAACGAAAGTGGCAGTCAACAAGCTCTGTTTGTCTGCATTGGTTTCCACGTGGTATGTAAACGAATAGTGTGACAGGTGCTTCGCCTATCGACACTCAATCAATTACACATTAAGTGTGAACCTAACAAAATGTCCGACCGAATGACATCGCATGACAACTGATCACATGTTCTATAATTGACAGCAATCTTGATGAAACAGGACTATATAACAGATGCTAGCCTTACAATTAAACCAAATGACCAACCCGTTTTTATTTGAATTCTATAAGGTTCTCGAAACTGTTAGTTTCATCAGTTTTGCCTTCTGCATATGCAATCATGGGCGGATACCGGTATATTAATTAATTTAATTATATAATTAGTGGCATCATACGTACGCACTGTATGAGGAGCATGACGCGCCATATTTAAGGGTAAATCAAATGTGAGACCAGTGGGGTCATGATAATGTCATGGTGCATGGGCACAATATATCACGTCTACCATTGAGTCAGTTTATGGCAAGGGTCTATCCCGAAGTTTTAGTAGGGTCTCTCTGAATAATGGCCATGGCGAATGCTTCCACGTCATAATAACTGATTCATATGATTGTGTTAGAAATTGAGTCATGAATTTGCTCCAATTGTGCAAAAGTAGCATAAAATATATTCTAGTATGTTCTAGGCGACGACGGTTGTACAACCACGTGACATATCATACGCTTCACCTTTAACACACAGACAACCGACTCATTTGCTATGCGTGTTTGTTTGTTCGTTAGTCTGCTTTCTTATCTCACGATTAACTCAACTATGGCCTAGTTACTGTTGTTGTCCAAGTTGAACACATGTCCCACTGTACTCACGCATAAACAGCTACAGAATCCATGAAAAATATTTTCATAAAGCAATATTAGGTGTGCACTGTAGCGGATCGTTTTTTGGTATCATAGCAACATTTTAATTTCGCCCGGGAATGTTATGTATTTTAACAAAGTAAAGTAAGTGAATGAGCTCTGTGACCCCCCCTCCACACACACATATACATATTCACACCGATCCAGGCACTTGTGTCCTGCATGCAGTAGTTTGTCAACCGTATCTACGTACTAAGGTTGACTGGGTCACCAATGCACGTCGACCAAATACTGCCCTCAATGTTGATTTGTTATATATCCGTTTTCATGGCTTTTTGTTGTACTCATTCTCCAGCTTGTGATGCAATTTGCATGCCCTGGATATTCGGCTGTGTTATCTGGCTGTCGTGTTTGGGCAAGGTCGACGTTCTGATTTGTTTGGGACTTTTCAGTGTAATAAGATGTAATTTGCTCGATGATGGAGGGAATATGTGTGACTGGGCGGTTGATGTATATACGCACGGAACAGGATCACGTCCATCAATTTGTTTTGAAATAACAATATATATATATATAAATGGATAGATAGTTCGATTTAATGTATGGCCAGCTAATACGCATTAATTTTATTTCACACCGCCACCCACTCGTCATCAACCATACCACCAACACAATACGATGGACATTGATTTAAAATCAGTTTAATTTATTCGAATGTCAGTGAGTGGTAACAAAACATATTATGCCAATATTGTACATGAGAGTAGCAGTTATTGTAACGAATAACGACACAATGTGTGCACTGATACTGATATCAGTGATATTGGTTTTGTAAAACACCCTCTTCTTCCTTAATCCTCGTCATCTCTCTACTACATCCATTATCTGGACCCATCATACCTACTCCATGGTAACGTTGGTGCTCCACCTATTTGACACCGAATTAATTACTTAGTTCAAATTAACGTTACTCTTCGCTTGATTGTTTTTTTAAGTCAGTGTTCAAGTTCTATGCTCTTTTAAAATATCGCTTACAAGTGACACCGTCAACTTCGTATGTGGTCAGCAACTCACCGTCGATGATTTCGCGTGTTTCGACGACTCGATTTATTAACTGGGACTGGTCACCGGTGCCCTTTGTGACGAACTTGGTATCCGAGATCTTCTCTGTTCTTACTTTTCTGGTTTTGTCAGTCATGACGCCAGTCGGTGAATCGTATTCTTCGTTTCGTTTGGCGTTTATAACGATTGTTTTCTTCTCACCTATCATCTTGATTGTACCCGCTCCGTCCTCGGTTTTTTCAAATTCCAGCTTAGGTTTTGCTTTTCTTATTAAAGCGCGAGCCTCCTCAGAAGCACCAAGTTTCTCCATGAAGGCATCAAGATTTTCTGATCGGTTATACAGCCAGGTCCCTTCAAAAGCCATAGTTGTGAATTAGTCGTTATTCTTTTATATCGATGAACGAGTGACTCCGTCTTGGCTAGTGATGTGGTTTTAGACGTGTACTTCTTTTATAGAACACAATCAGAACGTACCATTATAGTTTGGGTATTATTGCATAGATGACATCATCCGCGGAATATTTTTCAGATTTTTCAGATTTAGTTCAGTGATTCATGGTTGGCTCTCTGAATGTCGTATTATCAAGATATCCACGGGTTATCGCATTTGATGACCATACTAATATCATGATTTATATTTCAGCTTAATAGTGGTTGCCATGACATCTACTGATAAAGGTTAAATTACTGATAAAAATTAATGATGAGGCCAGATAGCGGAACTGGTCGAGACCAGCCGACACATTCTCATGAGCTTGCAATTTCGAGCTTACGCGGTACTTTGGTTGTATCATGATTTAAATTTCAGCTTAATAGTGGTTACCATGACATCTACTTAATGATGAGGCTAGATGGCGGAACTGGTCTTGCAATTTCGAGCTTACGCGGTACTTTGGTCGTAACCCAAAACTAATGGTGTTTGCGATTTTAAATTTATGCGGTGTCTTTGTGGAATGTTATTGCAAGACTATTAAAACCCATAAATATAAACTGACGTTGACAATATGATAGTGGTTTTCCTAATATAGTGACGATTAATCAATTATTGTATTATGATGTGTAAAACTTTCATGTGATTGGCTGTTTGTTTGAAGACAAGGCCTTAAAGTCTCTTATACTGTATTGTAATTGGCTAATGGTTGACAAGTAATAAAAAGTGATTTTAAGCTGTCTCGGGAAGAAAGCTGGAGACAAGCGGAGAATCGAATGCGACATGAACTGAGCTTGTGCGTGTTTTTGTGAGTCTAGCGTGGAGAACAATCGAATCCCGGTTACCTAAGTGAAAGGTTTCGAAACATCAAAAATATCTATCACACTAAATCAAGAAACGTTGATGTTGAATGCAATACCAAAGGCCAAACTGACCACAGACTACGTGGCTACAGAATCGTTAACGTACATCTAGAGTACTGTCAAAAACTTACAAAATAAGCTGTCGTGTTAAATGAAGATTTCCTATTTCTATAGATGAATTGTAAGTGATTTTTAAATGTAAAATACCTCTATTACAACTGCGCACGTTGTACGCCATTAACATACTACTACCCTGCTACTACTACTACGATATATTATTGCAATATTATGAATAGTTTTGATAAAAAGGGGAATTGATAGCTTACATTACGCCACGTGAAACAGAGTTGAACAATATGTATATGACACCATGTAAAATTCTCATCACAATCATGCATATGCAAAGATGTAGCTTGGATCCCTAATGGAGAGTTATGTACCGAACCCTAACCAATCCTCCCATGTGTCTGGTAATGCATTTGAATGTGCGATAAGAATATATTTATATATAATTCTCGTTCATTTTATTTCGCAACACCCCTTTCACTCACACACCCGTCATCTATACAATCATCAACACAATACATTGGGCATGATTGATCTGAAATAAATGTGATTTATTCATATGTCACTTTTAGTGGGCGATACACATTAATAAAACTTATTGTGCTAATATTATACTTAAGAAAAGCAGTCAATAATCTCCGTGTGCTTTGGTGTTCAAGTGGTGTGTAAACGAATAACAACACCGTGACAATCGCTCATAGGCGGGAATGAAACAAATTGTATGCTCAAGCATTTTTTTATTCTGTGACAGGGATGATACTGATACATATGAGTTTTTTTTCAAAACATTAAATTAGTTTTCAGGTTCAGTTCAAGTTCTATACTTTGTTGAAGTAACGCTTACACGAGACACCGTCAACTTCGTATGATACCACCAACACACCGTCGATAATTTCACGTGTTTCGATGACCCGGTTAATTACCTGGGACTGGTCACCTGTGCCCCTTGTGACGAACTTGGTATCAGATATCTTCTCTGTTCTTACTCTTCTGGTTTTGTCACTCACGATACTAGTCGGCGAGTCGTAGTCTTCGTCTCTTTTAGCATTTATCACCAGTGTCTTCTTATCGCCGATAATCTTCATTGTGCCTTCACCGTCCGCTGTTTTGCTAAATTCAAGCTTGGGCTTTGCGTTCCTTATTAAAACACGAGTCTCTTCGGGAACACCGAGTTTTTCCATGACGGCATCGTGATTTTCCGATCGGTCATACAACCAGGTTCCTGCAAAAGCCATCGTTGATAGAATCGCTATTCGTTTAGTTCAGCTTGGGAATAGTGTGTCTTCTTACTGAACAACGCTGTATTTGTTTGAATTCGATGCTCCTTTTATAGACATAGACCAGACCGTGTCATTATTCTTCGGATAAAATGTCAGACAATGAAGGTTTTATGAGATTAGATAAAACGCCACATCATTCCTCGAACTTAGCTTAACGTTTGTTGTATTGAACACGGCAGTGACACTAGGGTACTTTCTATTAGGAAAGTATATTTTGTTTAGAAATAAATCAATAGATAGGTAAATAACTCATTACATTTATAATTATATTAGTTAATATGTGTTTTGAATATGGTGACATTATCTACTGGAGTTGCCATAAGTGATGATGTCACCAAGCAACGATAATTATGAATGCAGTACCAAAGGTCACCGACCACGCACACGAACGATGTGTGTAAGTACGGGACATACATCAACGATTTTAAATTGACGGATTTCTGTTTTCTGGGTGAATACACGATTTGTTATCTCGGTGTTTGAACATATAAGGAATACAATCAAAATGATAAAAAGTTTCGCCAGTACAATTCAGATTATACGGTGTCTATTTCTGAGATGTTAGTTTGTAACTCAGAAATAAATCCACGCCTAAGTTTTGTTGTTTTGCATTAGCGTTTTGCATTATCGTCATTCACAATTTCCTTTGTCGCAAAATACGTACGCGGCAAAGAGGTTCTGTCAGTGTGTCTATTCTACTCAAACCTCCCGTGATGGAATATCAAGTGCCTTTACATTGCATAAACATGAAAACAGAACAGGGAAAACATAGTGCGAAATCGGCTATATATATAAATATATATATATAAATTACACATGATTAGAAGGCGCTGTTGGGTTTGTCCTATTTTACTAGGTCTCGTTGTTCGGCACCAACAGGGCAGTCTAATTCAGACCTCAAATGGTAAGGTTATTCGGTTTATTTGTACGGTACCTAGACTATGCTCCACTCTTAAGAGATATCACAGTGGTTATCATTGTTAATGTGATGGCTCTATGATGGCTTAATTATCGTGTTATTAAACCAGCTCTACACTATCTTAGACCTTAGCGTGGAATATTTTTTTTTTGTAAATTGGGTCAAATGTTGCACTCAATTTACTATCTAACAAACTAAGAACAGCGATCGAGGTACCTGTTCTAAATACATACAAGCATGCATTCCCCTGGAATGTGTCAGCGATTCGTGTGGGGGTGAGCAACACTGGTATTACATGTATTATATTATAAAGGCCGTCTTCCCCTTTTCCAGAAATCGAATAAACATAATCACTTATGCATTTCACAATGTTAACAAACAGTATAGAAATTGGTATCGAAGCGTTATACAAGTGTGGACCAGGCACGTCGCTTGGTATCAGGGGTAAATTCTTCTCTCCGGGGTTCTCCACACTTGTCAGGGGGGGGAATCTCGTCTCGTCTCTCTATCTCGTCCCCTTGAGGTACGGGATCGGGAAAGTCACTTATACTTTACAGTCAAATAAGACGCACACAACGAAATACGTTTCAGCTCTCGTCTTAGTCGGTCAATCGAGCACACTTTAAGACACGGCGCCCTGGGGAAAAATCCCCAAGACTATCGCAAGGCTGACCCAAGACTCTCTTAGACTGCGTCAACACTCGCCCCAAGGCTCTCCAGGACTGCTCTCTCTACTGCGTCTATCGTGCTGTGCTCCCCAAGACCAACTCAAACTCTCTTTATTCATTTTCAAAACTCTATCCAATTACAAAGCAGTAAAAAGACTCTAGGGCGTAACCTTCAATCATAAAGCCAATCACACTAAGTACTGAATACGTCATATCTTTTGATTAATCGTTCACTACATTAATAACTATGGATACCAACTGTCAGAATAGCGACGATTATCTCGTAATTAGTTCCAAATCACTGAGCTAAGTTCCGTCCAAAACTTCAAATAGGCCTACACGATGACAGACATAACACAGCAATTCGCTAATAATCAGCTAATTAAGTCGGTCAACAGATACGCAAAAACAAATTCATGACAGTATATAATAGACAGCACGGTAGGGTTATCAGAAACACTGCCTGATTTTTACATCTGGGATTTTGGACTGCCGTAAACATAATATAATGTATATAATTCAAGACGATTATTTAAAAATAAGCAGTTTAATAATTTAAAACACTGAATATAGAGCACTATTATTGATCACAAATAATGTTTCGAATTGCTTGAATTGCAAATGAATTCAACAATAAATTTTACAGTAAAAAAACAAAAACAAAAATCATCATCTTGGTTGTATCAACAGTTTCCTCTTCTATCGATGGATTGTGTTCGGTGGTTGTCGGTTGTCCATTTGTTTCCGATAGGTTGCCTCAATTCATCTTAACGGTATAATGAAATGAAAACAATTACTGGCAAAAATACAATGTGGAGTATACAGGACCGACAGCCAAATGCCACAGCGCACAAGACTGACCAAGTTATTGCGCCCTCGACGATTAAATCCGATACAGAATACAGCGCCAACTATCACACGTACATTACAGCTACAATCTACCAGGTGAATATAAAACAGTAGGAGACTATAAATATAACTTTTCCATAAATCACGCCCTCTTGTGACCGCGTGAGTAGGTGACACGAAGGCCGTTCGAATCATTTTGAGCCTTCACCGTCACCTTGACGTCACATATGCCATTTATAGGAATAGTATATTCTGGAATGTTTCGGGCGCAACCAACCGTCATTGGCCGAAAATATTAAAATGTAGTAGAGTTTCGAGGTGAAGTTTAAACTTAGTTAATTTCTTGAATGTTTTGCAAACTTATTGAGATATAAATTCTATGAAAGGTTATAACTAAATCTGAATATATCGTCAGTGCTGACATACATTGCATTTTGTCAGTCACAGAGACTATATTCCAGTTTGGGACCTCTTGTGTTGGATGTGTTACCATCTTCCTATCATAATGGCATTATGGCAATTTAATGCGTAGACTTGCATACTTTCCTTGTTTATTTGTTGTTGTTTTCTCAATAAAATAAAATGTTGTGGGAGTGTAAATGGCGAAAGCCAAGTCACCGCAAAAGTCGGGTTACCGCACAAATACAGTCCCATGTTTATTTGCTGTTTTCTCAATAAAATAGAATGTTCTGGGAGTGTAAATGGCGAAAGCCATGTTACCGCGAAAGTCGGGTTACCGCACAAATACAGTACCTTGTTTATTTGTTATTTTCTCAGTAAATGTTCTGGGAGTGTAAATGGCGAAAGCTTATTACCGCGAAATTCGGGTTACCACACACAAGAAAACATTGTTTTAACGTGCTACTCTGGTGTCAACCAAGGATGTGAGTGAGAATTTGGTTACCACCCACACCTTCAGTTAAACATTCTAGTAAGTAACTTAACCTTGAAGTACACGGTATTCTACTACACACTTCAAAGGACACTCAGTGACTGGCAGTGGTGACAGCGGTAATTACATAAATTATTAAATAACACCAGAGGTACATTACTTGGGGTTTGCAACTACGGTGACATGATAACGAGACCCCGTTTCAATCTCGCTCTCGCATAAGCGTTCCAACTCAGAAAAATGCGAATGCGCATGCCCGAGGTAACTAGGATACAGGGATGTCCAGGTGGATCAAAATAGCTGCTCACGATATGACGGATTACGATAACTATATTTTCTGTACATTTTCGATGTATTACATTTTTTCACTATGAATGTGGTAATACATGTTTTATTGTTTTATTACAAACCGTCTATGTCATGTCAGAAGGTCGTAGCATCAGTCTCGCTATCTACGAG